GCCTCTGAGCACAGCAAGAACACTTTGGGCTCTACACTGTCACCACTCTTGGCGTACTGACCCAGGCTTGGTTAGGTACAAGCCAATCACATTTTTTTTTTTTGAGACGGATTCTGGCTCTGTCACCCAGGCTGGAGTGCAGTGGCACGATCTTGGCTCACTGCAAGCTCTGCCTCCCAGGTTCATACCATTCTCCTGCCTCAGCCTCCCAAGTAGCTGGGACTACAGGCGCCTGCCACCACGCCTGGCTAATTTTTTGTATTTTTAGTAGACACGTGGTTTCACCGTGTTAGCCAGGAGGGTCTCGATCTCCTGACCTCGTGATCCGCCTGCCTCGGCCTCCCAAAGTGCTGAGATTACAGGCATGAGCCACAGTGCCCAGCTGTCAATCACATTTTGAAAACATACAGGATTATTCACTGCAGCACCGTTGCAATAGCAAAATAATAGAAACAGTCTGTAGGACAGGAGACTGGTTAAATAAATTATGGTTCATCCATATGATACTGAGAAAAAGAATGAGGATGCTCTCTATGTACTGATCTGGAAAGAGCTTCAAGCTATATTGTTACATGAAAAAAGCAGAACTGAGTGCATAGTAAGGCCATTTGTATAAAATATAAAAGTATAGGTTTGTATTTGCTTGTTTATGTACAAAGAAACTGAAAAGAGAAAACAAACTTAACAACAGGGAAGATGTTTATTGGGGAGGGCAAGGAAATTGGGGGCATGAGGGTTGGGAAGTGGGTAGGAAAGGGATGGAATTAGGGAAGACTTCACTGCAAACCTTTATAAAATAGATGTTTAAATATTCAAATGAATGTATTATTACCTAATAAAAGATTGAAATCAATTAATTAAAATGTACAAGACTTTTTTTTTTTTTTTTTTTGAGACAGAGCCTTGCTCTGTCGCCCAGGCAGTGGCATGATCTTGGTTCACTGCAAGCTCCGCCTCCCGGGTTCATGCCATTCTCCGGCTTCAGCCTCCCGAGTAGCTGGGACTACAGGTGCCCACCACCACACCCAGCTAATTTTTTTTTTTTTTTTTAGTACTTTTAGTAGAGATGGGATTTTACCATGTTAGCCAGGATGGTCTTGATCTCCTGACCTCGTGATCCGCCCACCTCGGCCTCCCAAAGTGCTGGGATTACAGGTGTGAGTCACCATGCCTGGCCGAGTTTTTAAGAATAGAAAAAAGTTTTAGGGGGAGGAGAAGTCCAGTGATCATATAATCTAACATTTCCCAAATAGTGGTTTGTAAAGGTATAATGAGAAATGTGTGTATTTAAAGCAATAGTGGGTGGGCCTGGTGGCTCACGCCTATACTTGGGGCAGCAGAAGCAGGCAGATCACTTGATCCCAGGAGTTTGAGACCAGCAAGGGCAACATAGTGAGACTCTGTCTTGACAAAAATATTAAAATAAAAAATAAAATAGTTGAGCATGGTAGTGCTTGACGGTAGTCCCAGCTATTCAGGAGGCTGAGGTGGGAGGATCACTTGAGCCCAGTAGGTTCAGGCTGTACTGAGCCATGGCTGTCCCACTGCACTCTATCCAGCCTGGGTGACAGTGAGACCCTGTCTCAAAATAAAATATAACAAAGCAGTAGCGGAATCTGTTTTGACTCCTACTTTCTTATATTTAATTCATAATTTTTTCTTTTTGAGACGGAGTTTCGCTCTTGCTGACTAGGTTGGAGTGCAATGGTGCAATCTGGGCTCACTGCAATCTCCACCTCCTGGGTTCAAGCGATTCTCCTTCCTCTGCCTCCCAAGTAGCTGAATTAGCTAGGATTTCAGGCATGCACCACCATGCCTGGCTAATTTTGTATTTTTAGTAGAGACGGGGTTTCACCATTTTGGTCAGGCTGGTCTTGAACTCCTGACTTCAGGTGATCCACCTGCCTTGGCCTCCCAAAGTGCTCAGATTACAGGCATGAGCCACTGTGCCCGGCCCATAGAAGAATTTTTAAGCAACTGTTTTCCCATTATGACAAAACTCTCTGAGAGTCCCTGGGGTGTGGAGTGGACACAGTAGACAGCCATGAAGAGCAGGTGTCCAGGCTATGACTCAGTTGCTTAGGCATCTTTCTGCTTGAAAACACCTCCTCTTGGCCAGGCATGGTGGCTCATGCCTGTAATCCCAGCACTTTGGGAGGCCAAGGTGCACGGATCACGAGGTCAGGAGATTGAGACCATCCTCACTAACACAGTGAAACCCTGTCTCTACCAAAAATACAAAAAATTAGCCGGGTGTGGTGGCAGGCACCTGTAGTCCCAGCTACTCTGGAAGCTGAGGCAGGAGAATGGCATGAACCCGGAAGGCAGAGCTTGCAGTGAGCTGAGATCGCGCCACTGCACTTCAGCCTGGGCGACGAGCGAGACTCTGTCTCAAAAAAAAAAAAAAAAAAAAAAAAGAAAGAAAATACCTCTTCTTGTGCTTGTACAGTTAAAATTTGTTTATTTTTTATTTCTTTTGAGATGGATTCTCCCTCTGTAGCCCAGGCTGGAGTGCAGTGGTGCAATCTCAGCTAACTGTAACCTCTGCCTCCCAGGTTCAAGTGATTCTCCTGCCTCAGCCTCTGGAGTAGCTGGGATTACAGGTATGCACCACCACGCCCAGATCATTTTTTTTTATTTTTAGTAGAGACGGGGTTTCACCATGTTGGCCAGGCTGGTCTTGAACTCCTGACCTCAGGTGATCCACCCGCCTCAGCCTCCCAAAGTACTGGGATTACAGGCGTCAGCCACTGTGCCCGGCCTGTTTTTATTAACCATGTTTAATTAATACCCCAAATGGCCCAGGAATGAAAAAGAATCTTGCTGTTGAAGACAGCTAGGTAATGTGGAGCATGAAAATTATTATTCTACAAATATGCCTCAGGACTTTTTCTGCAGATCTGAAAACTGTGATTAATCAACTTCTCATATAGAAAATTCAGCTCTTCCACTTTAGAATCTAGTGTTAATGAGAAAATGTTGCAGCCAGTGTATAAAATGATTTTCCAGGTATTATAAAGAAAGACTATATTTGATGTGTCATTTATAAATGAAGGATGAAATCATTAAAGTTAACTAGTTGATTTTGGGTGTGCAAAATGTGAGAATTTCATATACTTATTATCTGTGGAGCAGTAATATCATGATGACTTTACAAATTAGGAAAGTCACTAAACAAAGAACAACAACTATAACAAGGAGCAGTAACTACAAACCCTCGGGAGGGAGGAGAATCCGATTTCCAGAGATGCTACATTATATTATTTAAAATGTCCAGTTTTCAACAAAAAGCACGAGACATGCAAAGATACAAGAAAGTGTGGCCCATGCACAGGGGAAAATGCAATCAATAGGAATATAGATAATGTCTCCACCATTGGACTTATTAGACAAAGACTTTAAGTCAGCTACTTTAAATATATTCAAAGAAATAAATGAAACCATGTCTAAAGAACAAAATAAAAGTATACATTTTTTTTCTAACAAAATAGGGAATATCAATAAAAACAAATTACTTTTAAGATCATCAAACAGATGTTCTGGAGTTGAAAAATATAATAACTGAAATGAAAAATCTAGTGGGGGCTCAACAGCACATTAGAGCAGGCTGGAGAAAGAATAAGCAAAATTGAAAATGGGACAATTGAGATTATCCAATTTGAGGAACAGAAAAAAAAAAGAATGAAGGGAATAAACAAACAGAGCCTCAAAAATCTGTGGGTTCCATCAAGCATACAAACATACTTATAATGGGAGTCCCAGAAGGAGAGGAGAGAAAAAGGACATAAAGAATATTTGAAGAAGTAGAAGAGAACTTCCAATTTTGATAAAAAGTATAAATTTATTTTATCAAAATAAAAAGCATGTCCAAGAAGCACACTGAACTTCAAATAGGATAAACTCAGAGAGATTCACACCTAGACACATGATAATCAAACTGTTGAAAACCAAAGGCAAAGAGAGAGTCTTGAAATTAGCAGAACACAAATAAAAAAACCAACTTACCCTGTATTAGGATTCTCAATAAGATTAACATCTGATCTCTGGAGGCCAAGAAGGCTGTGGTATGACATAAAATGCTACCGAAAAAAAAACAACACAAACAAACAAACAAAAAAACACCCCTTAATTAAGCTTTCTATATCCAGCAAAACTATCCCTCAGAAATAAAGGAGAAATCAAGGCATTCTGAGATAAACAAAAACTGAAGAAATTCATCACTTAGCAAATCTTCCCTGTAAGAAATAAAAGGTGCTCTTCAGGCTGAAAGGACTTGAGGCATTAAGTCAAATTCACATGAAATGAAGAATACTGGTAAAGGAAATTACATAGGTAAATATAAAAGGCAGCATAAATATGCAACAATTATAAATGTGTGGTTATGGGCATATAATGGATAAGAATGTAATCTGTATGACAATAACAGCACAAAGGAGGGGAGAATGGAGCTCTATAGGAGCAAAGCTTTTGTATATTATTGCAATTAAGTTACCATTAATTCAAACTAGAATGTTATAAGACGTTCATTATAATCCCCAGAGCAACCCATAAGAAAGAGGGAGGGAGTGATCAACTGTGTCAAATGCAGCTGATAGTTTAAGATGAGATCCGAGAATGACCATTTGATTTGGCAACAGAAAGGTCACTGATGAACAGTTTTAGGGGAATGGTGGGGACAGGTGTCAAACCTGACTAGATTGCTGTAGGTAGAATAGGAGAAAAGGAAGTGGAGGTAATGAATATGGATAATTCTTCCAAGAATTTTGCTGAAAATGAGAGCAGAGAAATGAGAATGGAGGTGAGCCCAGGAGATTTTTTAATGGATTTGTATGCTGATGGGAATGGCGCAGAGTGGGAAAAACTGACTGTCTCCTCTGTCACTGTTGTTAAGGGAGAAGTTTGAAGATCAGAGGAAAGTTATTGGAGTATCATACTTTTCACCCTAAAGTCCCAGGCACAGGAATCTTTGATTATTGGGAAAATACACACACACACACACATTTGTTTGAGTGTGTTTATATTACATAATACTGTACTCACAGATACATTTTTAAAAAATGTCTTAACTAAGATGGCAGTATATGATCATTAACTAATACTTTCAGGCATAACAGACAATCAGAGTGAGGTACCCCATGAATGAAATCTGTTTCAAATGTTTTCTTGATAATTTTGAATTTTATTCAAAATTTGAAAGGCTGTATTATTAGCTACAGTTAGATCTGTCCTTGACCTTGCCTTGTAGTGAGGTTAACAAGAATAGTAATGACTGTTATTCACTGTTTTCTTCTTGTTCACCCTGCCCACATTATTAGTGTTATCTTCAGGCTGGGCTTTCTTTGCAGACACCTTGTTTAAAAAAACTTTTTATTATAGAGAATTGCAAACATATGTAGGTAATAATATAATGAACCCCAGTAGACTCATCATTCATCTTCCACTATTATCAACTTGTTACCTACAAAGCTGGTCCCCCACAAAATGGAGTCTTTCCCTCTTTGGTGTCCCAAAGCCAGTTTGGAAAAACAAAAGCAAGTGTCAAGTAGTGCAGGCTTTATTGGATGGCCACGGAATTGAGAATAAGGAGCTTGGTTCACGAATTAACTTCTCAGCTTGTGAAAGTCAGGAAGTCACAAATATAGGGCCTCTTTAATGAAGGGGTTAGGCACTAAAAGCTAGGGGATAAATATTCATGTCTTTTTGGGAATGGACAGAGAACTTCTCAAAACTAGAGTATTACCTTCCTTTTTTTTTGTCCTTTTATGGTTTCTTCCAGTCATTGTCATGGTGATTATCAACTGTCATGATGCTGGTGGGAAAGTCATTTAGCATGGAAATTAGATTATAATGAAGTTAGAAGTTCTTCAGAGGTCAAGTGAGCTGCCATCTTGGATCTCACCAGTGTTTGGTCATGTGGGGCACCTTCTGACCACAGGTATCCTGTTTCCTAAAGGTAAGCCAGGGTAGAAATTCACCTGTCACATAGGCATGTAATGTAAAGAAACCCATGGCCTGTTCACTTCCCCTGTCCTGTAATATTTTGAAGATAATCCCATATATAATATTATTTCATCTGATAATGTGTATCTCTGAAACACAACGACTCTTTTAAAAAATCTAACTACAATCCCATTATCACACCTGAAAAATACTTTGCAGGGAAAATCTTTGCACTAAAAGCCAGGTCAAGAAAGAAAGAAATGTGTCTTTAGTATAGTAAAGCTGAGGTCATTATTTAACAGGGAGTAAGGTCAAAGTTGTATTAATTGGAGGAAGATCCTGTCTTTGCATAGACTAGCTGGAGGTCATTTCTCTAGTAAATCAGACTGGCAGTCCTTGAAGAAAAACTAATGTTTGTGGTGGTGGGTTACGCTTGTTTTCAAGGTATTTTAGGAGAGAAGCTGGCCTTGGCATTGCTGGTGGAGTGGGACTGAGGTAGCATGGAAGCGGCCAATTCCCGCCCCACGTTTGTGAAACTAAAGCACCACATCCTCTCCCCACTTACCAGAAGCAGGAGTTGATGACAATCACATTCTCATCCAGCTCAAATCTGATGGGGTAGAGTTCGCAAGATTCAGGAAGTTATGAACCAGGAACTCTCTTATTCCATGGACTGTGGTCTGGATCACTAGGCTGGGAGGGCTTGGAGGAAGCAGGCAGGGAACAGCAGAACTGTGTAAGGGAACAGTTACTGTAGGAGGAAGCAACTGCCACCCTTGAAAGGCCTTGAGGCTTAGTCTTTTTCTCCTTTGTGGGAAAATGGAGCCAGTTGACCTAATCAAGGCAAGTTGTCAACTGTTTGGGGCAGTTACTTGAAACTTTAGTCAAAATAACTCTTTAATTGTCCTTTAACATTTACTTTGTATTTAGTGTGGTGAAGATGGGGGAGGCAGAACTTGGACTGTGGGGAGGGCATGTGAAGGTCTGTGCAGAGAGGAGCACCCACCAGCCTACCAGTGTCCAGCCACAGAGGCCACAAGGCACAGTCTCCATTCTCCTTGGAAGAAAGCCCTCTCCTACCCCTGGGAAGAACGGAGCCTGACATAGAGCTTGTGTTCACCCATATGACACACACTTAGAATTCTGTTCTTGGGGACTCAGGCAGATCTCTGGGAAGCCAAGCTCCAGGTGGTCAACGGGGGGCTGTGAAGTTAGGTTCTGGATTTCAGTATAATAAAGCAGCCTCCATCCCCAATTTTAGGCATCAACATAGAACAGCTAACTTTAAATTTTTCCAAGGGAAAATATAAAACAAACGACTTTCAATTAAGTTAAATGTCAATACTTGTGAAACAAAAAGTACCTGTATCAGTTTAGAAATTTATGTTATGAAGGTGAAGGACTTGCGCCCAGGAGACAGGTCTGTGCCTTTCTCCAAAGATTATTTTGAGGGCTTCAATATTTAAAGGGGAAAAGCAGGCTGGAGAGGAAAGATGGAGGGTATGTTCACATTACTGAATCCACATGTTGCGATAAAGGGAGCAGGTAGGGCAACAATTACGTATTTGTCTAGCGCTCAGTAAATCGGCACTTTACACAAGATAAGGTGAATACAGAGTGGAGATACTTCACCTTTAATCTGTAGCTATCTGCTTAGGAACAAAAGGAAAGGCAGTTGCTTGCATGACTCAGCTTTCAGCTTAATTTTTTTCCTTTTGGCAGAGTGAATTTTCGTTTCACAATACCCCCCCCCCCCAAAAAAAAAGCGGGGGGAGGCTCAGATTAAGGAACAATCCTTTGGCTTGAGTATTTCATTTTATGAGAAACTCACTAAGTTGTTATTTCTCTCTTTTCCACAAGAACGACTAACAGCTGCAGACCAGTGTTTGAGGTCATCTCAGTGGAAATTGTCGAGCCGACTTTGGCTCACACGTTCCTCTTCTCGTTAGGGAGGGAGTGACGGGGCAAATCTGCGTGCTGGTGGTGGCGGTGCCTCCCAGGGTTGCTCGGCTGGGCCGCCGAGGGCTAGACCCGAGCTCTATCCCGTGTGGGCCGCGCGTCCCCCAAAACCCCGGCCGTCAGCGACTGCGGACACCTGCACGCCGACAAGACTGGCGGGCGGACAGCGACTCGGGTGAGGGTCCTATCTCTCTACCCTAGGGGCGCGGGTGGCAGAGGCTTCCTGTTTTGAGGATGGCGCCACACAAAACAAGCAACCTTAGCCTGAAGGGCCCCGACGCCGGAGGTGGAAGTGCACGGCCTTGCCCGCCGCGCTTCCCTTCCTCGGAGTGCTTTTTGTGGGCCCTGGGAAAGGGGCTCTTGCTACATAGAGAGGAGCAAAGAACAGTCCTCGCCCGGTCCTTAAAGCGGCGGCACCCTCCACGGCCCACAGTCGCGTCTGTTCGGTCCACAGCCTCCCTTCCCACGCCCGCGCGGAGGCCCAGCAAGCACCAATCTGAAGGAACACAGGGAACCTTTGCGGCCGCGCACATTGCATCGCAGTGAAAAAGGCGCCCGTTCTCAAGGCGCCCGTTCTCAAGGCGCATGCGCGCAGGCCACCAACTCCAAAGCCAGGCCTCCAGCCCGCGTTTGCTAGAGGGAAAGGTAGCATGGAGGTGGGGAAAAGGAGAACGGGAGGGCCCTGTCTCCTAAGGTAGCCTCCCATTGGCTCCTCTTGCTCCGCCCTCGGTCGCGATTGGCTACGGGCTGGGAGCACGGGCCGAGCACGCTCTCACGCGCATAGCGGCATTCGGCAGGCGGCCGGCGGCCGGCGGCGCAGCCAATGGGAGCGGTCCGCGGGGCGGGGCTTGGGCGCTGGGCCTCCCTGGAAGCTGGCGAGTTGGTAAACAGATCCGGAGCGCGTGCCGGGCGTCAGCGCTGTGGCGAGCGCGCGGAGGCGGGCGCAGAGGGGGCTAGAAGGTGACCGCGGATCCCATCTTCCTGCAGCCGGGTAAGGCTGCCACCCGCCGGCCCGCCGAGTGCCCGGGCGCCGTCTGGCTGCGGCCAGAGCTGGGTTCAACACCCACCTGAGCCCTTCTTGCATTTTCTTCATGTGACAGTGCAGCTTCCCCGCGAATTTCGCTAGCCGCGAGCTTCAGGTCGGGACGCAGAGGGGGCGCCTCAGGTGCAGGGTGGGTCCTCTGCAGTCGTCTCACGTCCGTGGGTCCACCTCAGCCCCTCGGTCCTGCGTCGGGGAGGAGACGAGGGCCACGTGCAGAGCTTTGGGTCCCTGGAACACGCCCGCTGCCTGCCCGACCGTCTTCCGGCTGCCGATTGCCCGTTGCCGGTGCCCTTTGGTCGCCAATACAGCTTTCCTGCTTCGCTTTCTAATAATGTCGTTCTTCACTCCCAGACCCCCTTGCTCTAAGTGTCTGGGGCTCTAGGCTCGTTGCCCCTGGCTGCAGGTTTGGGTCAGAACTTTGACTTCCTTGGCTGGAGCCAACTGTTGGGCTTCACAGGTGGGAATTTTGGGTGAACTTGGGACAGGGGATCCTTTTTGATCCTTTCTTCCTTTCGCTTTTCTTTGGCCTTTCCTCTTACTTCTCCAAACACGGGGGATCTTGTGAGTAAGTTTGGGCTTACTCCCCTAAAGGCCTTTCCGAGGCTCATTCTCACCCATTGCACAGAGGTAACAGCCCCTCTGCCAAACCCTCCTTGGGCGATGGGGAATGCTGCAGGGGCAGGTTTGGGTGTTGGGACTCCCCGTTTGGGTGAGAAATGTCAGCTTCCTGAAGGGTGAGAGGCTTTTGTGCAGAGTCTTCCAGCCTGAGTTGGGCCTGCAGCCTGTTGAAAAACTTGTGCACGTTCACTTGGGCCTTGGATCTACGTGACAGGACTGAGTAGCTGGTCATGCCAGGCCTACCGAATTGCCAAAGGATTTGAACATTCATTGATGCCAGCTTGCTAGTTGTCACGCTGTGGATGGGTGGGTCGTCCTGGCAGGAGGGCTCTTGGGAGACTCTTCTTTTGGAGGAAGGCCTTTCTCCTGAGGAGAGACAAAAGGGGAGCTACAGGAGCAGCATCTTTAAGAATCAGGCTGCGGGGCGCGGTGGCCCATGCCTGTAATCTCAGCACTTTGGGAGGCCAAGGCGGGTGGATCACCTTAGGTCAGGAGTTCGAGACCAGCCTGGCAAAAATGGCAAAACCTCATCTCTACTAAAAACCAACCAACAAACAAACAAAAATTAGGCGGATGTGGTGGCGGGCACCTATAATCCCAACTACTCAGGAGGCTGAGGTGGGAGAATTGCTTGAACCTGGGAGGCAGAGGTTGCAGTGAGCCAAGATGGCGCCAGTGCACTCCCCACTGGGCGACAGAGCGAGACTCAATCGCAAAAAAAAAAAAAAAAAAAAAAAAAGACTCAGGCAATGGCTTTGAATGTTTTGTTCAGCCTTGCAAATGGTGCGGACTATGCAGAATCATGATTTGGGGCCTAATGTTGGGCAGCTAGCTCAAAGGAAAAGTGAACCAGGCAGTCTGGGCACCTCCCTCAGAGCCAGTGTGTTATCTAAGACAAAGTTTTTCAACCTGTGGACTAATGACATTTTGGACCCGTAATTCTTTGTTGGCGGGGGGCCTGGCCTATGCATTGTAGGATGTGTAGCAGTATCCCTGGCTTCTGTCTACTAGACTAGCACCACTCCCTACCCCTTCTAGCCATTGTGACCATCAGAAATGTTTCCAGACATTGCCACATGTCCTCTGGAGGGCAAAATCTCCCTTGGTTGAGAACCACTGAGGTAAGACTCTAAAAAGAGTTGTCCTATGCTGCCAGAGGCCCCTCTGGGACCTGCCCGTGAGTAGGTGAGAGGTTTAGGCAAAGGGTAGTGTTGTGCCTCCTACCCTAACCCAGTGGTAAAAGCCATGTAGATTGGGCTACCTGTGCACCTAGCAGGGCAGAGGCAAAACCTGCAAGCAGAAAAGAGGTAGACACCCATGGGCATGTACTGTGCCTGCTAGATGTGTGGCAGTGACTGCCTGGGTTGGGGGTGCTGGAGAATTGGAAGACTGGTAGCTTCTTGGCTACAGGCAACAAAGGGCACCCAAAAGATCCCCTAACTGACCAAGGAGTGTTACGGGAAAATACCGATACATCCCCACAGGATCAATTAACAGCAAGAAAGAGAAACTCATTTCTCTTGCAAGACTAGGGGATTTGCACCTGAGTAACTATGGGCCAGTTTTACAATAGGAAACATACTTAAGCTGAGTGCTGGCACAAAGGCTAACTCAGCTATCCACAAGTGATTCTTCAAGGAGATGCTTTATTCATCCTCACTTTTTGCTCAGACATCTCTGTGTCTTGTGATGTGGAAGGGACCAGGCCTTCATCTGCAGGGAGTAAGTGGCAGGGTGCATTTCAAACATATGTATTTTTACATATACCATCTGAGAGTGCAGTGTGGGCATGGGTATAATAATCTGTGGAGTTCTTTTGTAGTTATTTGAAGCATCAGTGTCAAAGTCAGTGAGCCTTTTATTTTTCTTTTCTCCTTGGGTCAGCCTGCTCATCAAAGAGACATTTTTATGTGTGTATGGAGAAGGATGCTTTACTTCTGAGTGTAAATTTTGCCTTCATTGTAATCCAGAATTTATGCCCCAAATTTCTAAGTCCCAAACCAATAGGCATGCAGAAAAGCTGAAAAACAGGGATTTCTTGCACAGGGCAAGGAAAACCATCCTAAGCCTATTCAATGAGTTTCTCTTTCTTGTTGTTAATTGATCCTGTGGGGATATATCAGGATTTTCCCGTAACACTCCTTGGTCAGTTAAGGGATCTTTCGGGTGCCCTTTGTTGCTTATAGAAAACGATCAGGAAGGAAGGTCACGTCTCCTTTCTCAAAGAGAAGTTTAAAGAAGGCTATTATTGGGAAGCTGAAAACTTGGCAGGATAATTTTCCAGTAAGAACCATGGACACTGAGTCATTATCTTTGTCCGTTGAAACAAGAGCTGTGTGCAAAATTAGACAGGAATATTTAGACAGAGAGTTGTCTTGATTTGACAGTGGCATCTGGAGATACTTCTGTCATTCCTGTTAAGCAACAGCCAGGAACTCGGGAGAGCCAGTGGAAAGGAGGGCTGGTGGGAGTGAGGGAGTTTGAGGGTCCTGCTCTTTCTGGAGTTGCACATGTGGAGGGGTGGGAGTCCACGGAGGTGGTTTGTGAGAAGGACCTCAAGGGGAGATAGAACCGAAGGCATGGATTCAAAGAAATTTATGCAGGTGAAATTTCTAGACTGACTAACTGGCTGGATATATGGCTGAGATTTCTAAGTGGGGGAAGGAGCTGGATGATGGAGGAAGAGCTGGTTTGGGAGAAGGTGGTCATCTTAGTTTTAGACATGATGGGAGCCTATGGGACTTTTTTCCATCCTGTTTGATTAAGGTATAATTTGCATACAGTAAATTCATCCTTCTTAGTGTACAGTTCTATACAGTTTGACAAACACAGTCACATAACCCCACCACAATCAAGGTATAGAACAATTTCATCACCCTCCGAAATTTCCCTGCGCCTCTTCCCAGTTGCCTGTGGGTCTTTGAAGTGGTGATGTGGTATGTGTGTGTGTAACTTGGTTTGTTCTGGAAATGGGTTCGGTGGTTGAGAGGCCCTGCCTGGCCTGAGGGTGGCGAGGCATCAGTGCAGAGCCTGTGGAGGAGCTCTGGCCGCCCAGGAGCCAGTGCAGATGGCAGGGAGGCCGGGGTGTCAAGGACCAGCCTGGGAACTCCCAGGCCTTGGAGTAGATGGAGGAAGAGGAGCTGGGGGAGGAAGCTGAGGAGGTGAGGCCAGAGAGAAGGGAGGAGGGAGGGCTTCTGGGAAGAGTGTGGGGCCAGCAGGAAACACTGTGGGGCAGGGAGTGGCTGAGGAGACCCACTGGCTTGAGCCCTCAGGTGTCACAGAGGGGCAGCTTGGGGTTGGGGCCAGACAGTGTGTGCTGAGGGAGCAGGGAAGATGG